TTTTTACTAATATAGAATAGACCCCAATCTCAAAGCCCTCCAACGCGGCTGCTTCCGCTACTTCGAGCTGGGCATCACCGAAGGCCCAAGCGGGCTACTAGCCGGACTGATCCAGAAACCATTCGTCCTGTTCATCCACTTCTTCAACGTGGCCTTCCTGTCACTGTGGCTGATTCTCCGCGACTCGCCGGTGTACCTGCTGCCGGTGGCCTTGATGCGATGTATAACGGTGTTTTGGACGGCTTGCGTTGTCATCTTCCCTTATATGTTGATTGAGTGGTTTGGTTGATTCTTCCCGACTGACTGGTAATGATTATCTCCTCTTCTGGATGCTATATCACCACAACACTACTGTTATTACTGCTATTGCTACTACTGTGATATTCCCCATGATTACTCGTCTAGCCTGCTTGACTGTTCATCGTCTACACCATGTCAGGAGACATACCGTTGTTCCAGGAGTGACATTAATTGGTTTGTCCAGAAAGGGCAACAACCTCATGTGTTTTTCTTTTCCCCTCCCTGTTATTCCATTTGTGTTGATGTTTTGATGTTTTCTTCTGTTGTACTATAGAGACTTGTGTTTATACCTCATCTATGGATGAATGGTGATGGTGGATGAAGTTATTGATGACTGGACATATATAATAATACACTACACGCATATACATATACATAACTTGGTTCTTGCTTTGCTGAACAGCAGTCGTGATTACTTTATTCAAGGTTTATCTTTTGATTGAAGAAAAGATGCTAGCATATTATGGAGTCTAGATATATAACATCCTACAAGGACAAGATCTCCCCTTGAACATTCTACCACAGCCACTACGCCGTATGGATGAATGCCTGTTCCTCTCATCTTCTAGCGAATTGACCGAATAAAAGGAATAATAAACAGAGTAATCACCAGTTGGTCAGTTGCTGTGGTTACGTCATACTAGAGAATACGCCAGTCGACCATGTAAGGCAGCCTGCGACCTTCCACCTGCATATGGAGAACAAATCAACCATTCGTCTTGGCCTCTATCCATGGCCGCTTTGATCGAAAGAGCCATGGCCCCATTGGCGGCTCTGAAGCATCGCCCTTGGCCGTTGTCAACAGCGGTCGCACCTCAAATGGGTATGAAGCAGCCCATCGAGGAGGAGAACACGCCGTACTATGATTCAAGTCTTTTCTATCCGGCTCGCCTAGGAGATGTGTTCAACAATAGATACCAGCTTGCGGCGAAGCTTGGTTACGGATCCAATTCAACGGTCTGGCTGGCTCGAGACCTCAACCAGTTGTGTACCTTCCAAACTGTGGGCTATAGCTCTCGCTGATCAAATACAGATGGTGCTGGCTGAGAGAGAGATATGTTGCTCTCAAGATCAATGCTAGCCCCCCGCATCGGAGGGATACTGTTGAAGCAGAGCTAGATACTCTCCGGCTGATCTCTGCGGCCAATCCACGACATAAAGGTTATCCCTTGGTCAGGCATCTTCTGGATTCTTTTCAGTTGGAGTATGAATCAAAGAAGTGCCTTGCTCTTGTCTTTGAGCCCTTGCGGGAGCCCCTGTGGTTATACAGACAGAGATTCATTGGAGATACCATACCCTCAGATGTGCTGAAGATCATGCTCCAAATGATCCTCCACGGTCTTGATTACCTCCACTCTGAATGCCATGTGATCCATACTGGTTCGTTTGAGGCGACTGACTTGTATGATAAGAGCGGGGCTAACGAATCTATGCCAGATCTGAAGCCGGATAACATCATGGTTAAACTAGAAGATTCGTCGATTTTGGAAGAATCTGCTAAAGATGAATACGAACACCCCCTCCCACAGAAAACTAACCCTCATGGTCGCACGATCTACCTTTCTCGAAACAACTACGGTCTACCCCGCAAGACAACTGGAATCTATCAAATCACAGATTTCGATCTTTCCGTCTCTGGGAATCAACCAAATGATGGGTGCATTCAAGCAGAGATTTACCGTGCACCGGAGGTGATCCTGGACGCTGGCTATTCATACAGCGCTGACATATGGAGCTTGGGAGTTATGGTAGACATTTTGTCCAGCTTGCAAAGTACCCTGCTAACCTCTGATCACCAGTTATGGGATGTCCTTGAAGGGAAAAAGCTCTTCAAGGCCATAGATCCTGTGCAAGTTCACGAATATGACGAGGCACACCATCTCGCATGTATCACTGCATTGCTAGGTCCCCCTCCGAAGGAGCTCTTGGACAAGGGCAAAAGAACCTCGTGCTTTTATAAAGCAGGTGGGTGTGTCGTTCTACTTATTGATCCAGGAACCGTGGTTTGCTGATAAACCCTAGGGGTCTTTACAGGCCCGACTGTCGAGCCGACCGACTTCAATTTCGAGGGCTTGTTGGAACATGTCCGAGGCGAGGACAAGAGGATGTTCATCGAGTTTGTTCAACGAATGTTGCAATGGCGTCCGGAGGAACGAAGTACAGCAAGCGAATTGCTGCAAGACCCATGGCTTTCCAGTGCCAATGAGTCCCGCAACCTTGATTGCGATGCTGGCGGTTAATCGTCTTGGAGCGATCCACTCACTCCGTTGTATTTGGGGGCGTTGCACCGAATGCCCTGGCTCAGCGCATTGACGCTTGGAAACCAGTTGCTCTCCTCACGGCCACTCTTACATCGTGTACGCACCGTTGCTCGCGGGCGCTTCCACAGTCCTATACAAAGGCAAGCCGGTGGGGACCCCCGGCGCGTCTGCCTTTTGGCAAGTAGTCGAAGAGTACGAGGTGAATATGCGGCTGTGGTGGATGTCGCTCGAGCCAAGGTGAAGGGGTATTTAGGAACAAGCGAGGAGACGGGGAGAAGCACATGGTTATCGAGGGTCGAGAGACGTTATAGAGAGTATCGTTGGTGTTCGTAGTTGTCTATCTGGACGACATGGCCGAGCTCTACAATCCTGGATATATATAAGCCCACGATCTTTGTAGCTGAATTCGCCCCGCGAACAGGGGTCCACCTGCTGGGTCTCTTGATTGACTTAGCATGTTGGAGATGGCTGATGAACAGCAGTCAAAATGACAAAAAGACTAAAAACCAACTCCCCTTCTCCATTCCCTGCTCCTGCTGTTCCTGCTCCCGATCCTACTATGGTATAACGACAATGTGAGTAATGACATGCCTTGGATATAATCTATATAAATGGGTATAATACAACAATCCTGACAAGATCCCACCCATAAACCTAGCCCAAACAAACCTTGAACATGATTGAATCATCCATTCATCCATCCGTCCCTAGACCAGACATCAAATGTCGAAAGTCAGTAAAAGTAGGCCTCGCGACGTATCCTGTTCTGGAACGATGCTGTCGTGGCCTTTCATTCTAGTCGATCGGTCTGTACTCTCCGAGTATGTCTGACTGTAGTGTATCTGTATGTGTATACGATTCTTGTATGCTGTTTATCACCATGCAAGCTCACTCGCCCCAAGCGAGTCAAAAACGAACAACAACTGCAGACTGGAAGTAAACTGAAGTAAACTGAAGACCCAAGGGTATAGCCGGGGGTATAGCCAAGCCAAATGCCACAGATCGGGGATGATAATCGTATAAAAAAAAAAAAGGGAAAGTTCCTGAACATCAATCAAAGAGCAGCTATGCAATTGCTAGTAATCAATCCACGGTTCGCTTTTTTCCCCGGGATCGGACCGACCTCGAAACGCCAACATGAGGGAATACTAAGAACTCTGCCAGATAACCGTCACGAAAGAAAAAAGAAATGAAAGAAAAGAAAACGGAAAAGATTCATATACCTTCACTCAAGACCAGGACAACCGAATGTGGTGACGGACGCCGCCGCCGAATTTATACAAGGCCATGGATCAACCCCCTGGGACTCCACGGTAGATTCTCAACAACCAAACGGATCAAAAGGATATCATGTCGTGGCACCGACACCATCGGTGCCACTGAAACGGTAGACACCGGCCGTCAAGACCGAGATCCTCCAAACGAGGCCCTTCAAATGAGGCCTCCAAACGGACCCTCAGACCAAGGCCCCGGGCCCCGCCGTCTGGAGGGACTTCCCACCACGATGCTGGGACTGTGCTCGGCTCTGCGCGGCGGGAACTTTTTTTTTTGGTTTTTTGCAGGTATCATAGTTCATAGTCTTCGAAACTTCATCGTGTTTTTGCTTTTGCTGATTATCGCAACATCGTGAGTGGGCCAAGAATAATACCAAAGCGAATCATGCTTTTTTTTTTTTTATCCTCCCTTTTCTCTTTTATCCACTAGCGTCTTCCCGGTCAATTCATCCGCCTTTTCGCATCGACTCATCTGCGGGGAGCGGCTCCGCTCCGCTTTGGTGACCGTGTCGGTGTTCTGTGGTCGACCGGACGTTCTTTTTCTGCTTCTTCTTGGTGGTCTGCCAGCCACCGCTTGTGTGAGAACCGTGCGAGTCCGACGTTGCGGTATTGACCCCGTTGGGCTTCCGCGCCGAGTGGGTATTCCGATCCTTTGGGTCGCTTTGTCCGCTAGATGGATGATGCGATGCATCCGCGCGGTGGTTGCGAAGGAACCGCGGCCGGTGGTGGGGGGCTCCGTTGGTCTTCTCGGCGGCATCGGTGCCGTTGGGGCGGCGTTTGCTGGTGGATGGGGGGTGCGACTCCGAGGCTTGGCCGGAGGTTCCTCTGTCTTTGGCAGAGAACGGTTTCGACCGAGGCATGTCTTTCTCCGACGAGTCGTGGTGTGATGCGGCGGCTCGGGACGTCTCCGTCTTAGCCACAGGCTCCGGCGTCTTGTCCCCATTGGCGAGATGCAGGTTCTGCAGGCGGGTGGACAGCAGACCCGGCTTCGGGGGTCCATTGGCCGCGATGTCGACCGATTTCGAAGTCTCTATCCCCTGTCGCCCAAAATACGGCGGCGCGTCAATCTCCACGGAACTGTTATCCTGCAGGTCCTGCGAGAAGGAGTCCGAGACGCTGATGGGCGTGTCCGTGTTGGGGTCATCTGAATTGGACGTGTAGTGGCTCGTGGCGTACGGATCGTACGCGTCGGCGGCAAAGACCGGCCGTGTTTCACTGGGCGGGACGGACCCGTCGATGATCAACGGCCCTCCACGATCACTACTCGCTGCCGTCGGCCGGGCGGCCGGGCGCAATTGCGGAAGCCCAGCCTTCGACGGCTGCGACGAGCTCTGGTCGGAGGAGGGCCCCGCGTCGCTGGCGACCGTGGACAGATAATCCTGCGCGTTGGTGACAAACGGAACGATCCCACCGTTCTGCAGCGCGAGACCGACCGGCGTTGACATGGGCGAGAGCATGGCGTTCTGGTGGTACGCTTGCAGTTGCGGCGAGGTGGCCAGGTAGTACCCACCCAGGTACTCCGGCCGCAGCTCATCCAGGTAGCTGGAGCGGGATCCCGTGGGCATGCTGCCCGACGTGAAGGTGGCATCGTCGTCGTTGGCGGTACTGTCCGGCGACCCGGGCGTCTTCCGCTGCTTGGAGCACGGGGAGCCATCCAACGGCTGCGCCGCGGAGTAGATCGGGGCGTAGTTCGGGAGCGAGTTGACCGTGCGGGCGGGTTGCGACTGGGCCCTCAGCGACCCGGCGGGGGACCCATTGGCGACGGACGAGCGACGGGGGCTGCGTCGGAAGTCGGGCAGCGCCGTCGCGGTCGACGGGGACGGCGGGTTGGTGGTGGTGCCCTGCACCCCCGCCATCCCCCCGGGAAGATACTGCGCGGGGTAGTAGACGGGGTGACGGAGGGGCGGATGGGTGCCGGACCGACTCCGAGCGGCGTCATCCCCCGACGAATCCGGTTGCGACTGTTGCTGCTGCGACTGCTGTTGCTGGGGCACCGGAAATTGTATGAACGGCTGGCGGATGAGGACCGGCGGGGGCCGACCGGTCAGCAGGGCTTGATTCTGCAGCTGTAACCGCAGTTCCTGCTCCTGCGCCTGGAGGATCTGGATCTGCTGGTACAGATGGTCGTGAAGGAGATATTGGGCCTGCTGCGCGTGCAGCGAGAGCTCGGAGGCGCTCACGCCCGAATTCGGTTGTCGAAAGTTGTTCGACTTGTTCGGGGTGTTCGAGGCCCGTCGCCCACCGAGATGCGGCCCTCCGCGCGAAGGGTTGGCGTGCCGCCCGCCGCGTCCACCCCCTCGGCCCCCGCGCGACGGGGGCGGGGCGGCGGTAATGACGGGCCGGGGCTGGGGTGGAGGGCGCTCCCACAACCGTTCCTCCTCCACCGGGTATTCGTACTGCTCGCAGCAGCGGTCCAGGTCCGCCTCGGCGACAGCCTTGAACGCCCGACGCATCTCCATGTGGACGCCGCGGAAGGAGGTGTCATCGGCCGTATTGCCCAGGTTGCGGGAGGTGTTGAAGGGCTCTTCGACGCAGAGACGGTTGTTCTGCAACAGATGCCAGCCCTTCTGCACCTTGGGGATGAGTTTGGCTTCGCGGACCGAGATCACGTACTTCTCGTAGTCGAGTTCGTGGCCGTAGTATCGGAAGAACTGGAAGAGTAATTCGCCCAGAGACTGCTTATTCCGTCGCCCATACCCCACCAAGCCCTCGAGGTTGTCATCGAACGAGCACACAAGTCCGTCGGCCGAGACCCGTTTCTGGTGGGGGCGGGCTTGTAGACTCGGTAGAACGGGGGGATCGCGCGTCTGCAGGAAATTGATGATCATGCAAATCCAGGTGTAGGAACTAAGGGTCCCGCCGAGACCTATGTAGGGGGCCAGCTGTCAGCATCGCACATCCGCTTGGTCGAAGTTGGTTGGAGCAGCGCGTACCGGCATCGTTGAGGATCCTCCGTTTCGTCCAGTGCTTGATGATCATGGCCAGCGGCCGCACGCGCTCGTCCGTCTCGACGTACGTTCGAACCATGCGCGTGTTCTCCAAGGCCATCGTGTTGTTCACGTTCATATCGCACGCCAGGCGCAATTCGGGATCCCAAATTTTCACGATAGGGACCTTGGCATGGGAGACACAGACGACCCGTTCCATGCCATCTATTTCGACAGGGGTTAACAGTGAATCATACGGGTGGCGATGGGAAGGGAACGCCTTACGTTTGGCGAGAACATCCGCCAGCACGCAGACATGTTCGAGGTCCTTCAAGGTGGTTGTGATGCAGATGTCCACTGCGAACCGTCAGTTTTTGCCCCCTCCCCGTTACTCTTTCTTTATGTGAGACCCACCATCCGAATCACTGGAACAGAGTTTGTTCCCCGACGAGCCAAACACGTTCACCTTGATGTTATTCCCCGGCCATTGGTCGTTGAACAATTTTTCCAGCTTGTGGACTAGTTGACGCCGGCGATCGTCACTCTCGGCGGAGGGGAGTAAGCGATCGTAGACCTCGAGCATGTCGGCGGTCAACCGCTCGTCTTCCTCCGGGGTCAGGCGTTCCTTCAGGCCGTCCTTCTCCTCCGGGAGCAGATCGGCGCCGATAGTGTAGGGTATGCGGCGGCGGAAGAAGGCCATGGCGGTCTCATATTTGCAGCCGGCGAAGGGTTTTCGGGAGGGAGGGAGGTGGGTGGACTCGGAGTGGGTGGAACGCGGCGAGGTGCTGCCGTGAGGCGGGGAGGGCGAGCGAGAGTGGAAGGAGAGGTTCCGCGCATGCTGGTAGGGGGTGGAGGGCAAGGAATTCGACTGCTGGGAGGTCAATGGGGGGCGATTGGGGGAGGCCTCCGAGGCCGTATTGTCGGCAGGGAGGTTCCACGGCATGGTCGAATTCTGCTCCCCGACTATCGGCGACTTTCCACGAGGAAAGGGAGATGATTTCGTATTCCCATGGGTATCTGAAAGCATATAGCGAGTCCAACGTTGACCACCAACGTTGATCGTCCAAGAAAGGGAGGGGGGGAAAAAGGGAAAGGAAGAGAGAGAAAGGTCGAGGGAGGAGGAGTGGAAAGGGAAAATCCCGCTGTGGGCGGTATATGGAGAAAGCCGAGCGAGGCGTCAAGTAATCAGGTCGGGAAGCGGGTATCTTTTGGTCGAACGGTATTAGGACATCAAACAGGTGAGGAAAATAATGTACAATGCGTTACAGGGCGTATTCAAGCGTGAGAATATATAGGGAAAAAAAAAATAAGAAAGAAAAAAAAAGGAGGAGAGAAAGAGGGGAGAAAAGGTGGAAATATGGGGGGGGAGGAAGAGGGGAGGAGGGAGGAGGGGAGGAAGCCGCAGGAAAAGCAATAGAGAGATCAGTCAGTCCGTCAGTCAGGGTCTAATTTCTTTTTCCAGGACTATCAAGAATAGGTGACAGTGATGACTGAGGACTGAATGATCGATCGGAATTGAGGGAGGGAGAGGTGAAAGAAAGAAAGAAGGTTGAATGAATCTCCGGGGCGGAAATGATAGACAATCAAGAGCGTTATAGGGGGGGGGAGAACGATAGAGCAGGAGCAAAGGGACTCACTCGGAAATACCGGTAGATTGGACCAGTCCTAATTGACTACTTGTTTTGTTAGTTGTATCAGAAGACGAAGAAGAAAAGATTCGAAGGGAAAAAAGAAGGGAAATTCGTTTGATGAACCATAAAAGAGTGGTGAGCCTGAGCCAGGGGGCTTCCATCGTCCACTTCATCAAAGAATTCCTCGACTGGACTCTTGCCACCACCATTTATACCTCCATTCTTTGATTATACTTGATTTCCGTTCCAGATATACAGTCCCTGGATTATTAAAAAGGTATAGAACAGAACAGAAAAAGAAAAAAGGGTTGTTTCAAGCCCAATTGATCCTACAAATGGAATGACATACAGTACTCCATAAATGAGTGAGACGATAGATGACTGCACCAGATCTCCAGCGGGCCTGATCATGAACCGGTTGAGTATTGGATATGCTTCTCCTCTATATAAGCACTAGGTCTATACTCGTGTCTATACATAGGAAAGACGAGGCGAGACAACCACGCCGATCCATTCTCGGTCTGTCCAGGAACGGGCCACTCAGCGTCCCCGTGCGTCACGTATCAAGTATCGAGTGTCGGATTCTGAACATGATCAAATCATGCAAAGGACTGGGGACTGGGGAGGGCGGATGGAAGGTGCACTCGAGGTGGATCGCTGGACTGTCTAGATATAGAGAAAGCGACGGAGTAATATCCCCCCTAGTCCATACAATATCCTAGACTATTGAACTTCCGTGGACCTGCATCTCCGTGATCCTTTCCCCTATCCCTTAACGAGAATCGTCCACTAGATTACCCCGGTCAGTTAGAAGCCGTTAGCCCAATGGGATCTGCTGCGGAA